CCTTCACCTCACTGTTGTCTGTGTCTAGGGCTATGCATATATGCATATAAGTTCTTTGGTTAATTTCTTCCCATCCTCTTCTCCCTCCAAGGTTTCCATTTTCTTTACATTCTTGCCAACACTTGTTATTGTCTTTTATTATAACCATTCTAATGGGTGTGAAGTGGTATTGCATTGTAGCTTGACTTGCATTTACTGATGGCTAATGATTTTGAGCATCTTTCCATGTACTTCTCCACCATTTGTATATTTTCTTTGCAGAAATATCTATATAAATACTTTGCCCATTTTTAAGTTACTTTGTCTTTTTATCTTAGAGTTTTAAGAGTTTTTAATATATTCTAAACACTAGACTCTTGTCAGATATATGATTTCCAAACATTTTCTTCCATTCTTAGTTGTCTTTTTATTTTCCTGATAGTGTTTTTTTCACACACATTAAAATTGTTTTAATGAAATCTACTTTATCTAGTTTTCTTTTGTTGCCTGTGCTTTTGGTTTGGTCTAAGAAACCATTGTCCAATTCAAGGTCATGAATATTTATGCCTTTGTTTTCTTCGAATAGTTTTGTAATTTTAACTCTTATATTGATTTTAAAAAAATTTTTAAATTGATTTCAGAGAGAGGAAGGGAGAGGGGGAAAGAGAGAAGAATCCACTGACTGCCTCCTCCCCCCTACTAGGGATCGAACCTGAAACCGAGGCATGTACCCTGACAGGGAATCAAACAGGACACCTTTTGGTGCATGGGATGACACTCAACCAACTGAGCCATACCTGCCAGGGCTTTAACTCTTACATTTAGATCATTGATCTACTTTGAATAATTTTTGTACATGATGTAACATACAGGTCCAACTTCATTCTTTTGCATACAGTCATTTAGTTGTCCTAGCACCATTTGTTGAAAAAAATATTCTTTCTCCATTTAATTGTCTTAATTGTCAATTTCAGCCTGCAGGTACCACCATTGTTAGAGGTTTGTGTCCTTCCCAACCATTTTGTATTCATATACATATGTATAGGATTTAAAAAGTGTTATCAAATTATAAATATGGTTTTGCATCTTACTTTCTTCACTTGACAATATAGCAGGGTGTCTTTCCATATGTGGATCAATTGCATACTTTTCTTACTATACTTAGTAAAACCTTCTCCACCACATGGTTATAAAAAATATTCTCCTATATAATCTTCTAGTACTTTTATAGAACTCAATTCTTATTTATTTTTAACTTAAATTCTTGTGAAAGAACAATGACTGTAGCATTAGTGGAATTCTTAATGTCATTTTGTTCACAGCAGAGGGGACAAGTATAAGCAGTTGGTCTTCTCCACTCTGCACATAGTCAAGAGACAGGCTGGCCAACATTCTGCCTGTTGACTTGACACATTCAGACAGAGTTTAAACTGGCTAGAGGAGAAGGTGTGTGTGTGTGTGTGTGTGTGTGTGTGTGTGTGTACTCGCTCTTGCCTTTTGTGCTTTGTGTGGACATATTCTCCTCAGGTGTAAATCAGTGACTCCCCATAGAGTATTTAAAAGATTGACTTGGAATGATTGGCCTGTATAACATCAGACACTCTCCTGACAGACCATTCTGAAAAGGGTAGGATTAAATCCAGAAGTGTCACTTGCAGTTCCCATGAAGACTTCTAGCACTGGAGCAGAACTGTGGTACTGAGTTGTTTTCTGACTTGCATAGTTTCTATACTGACACCCCCTGGCCTCTCCTCAGCCCACTGCAACTTCTTGGGCAGGCCCGCAGGCCCTGCTCACTCCTTTGCAGACCTGCAGAGACCCATATTTCCTCTGCCCCATTCCTGGGGGCTTTGGGGAAAGGAAAGAGCTCTAGTTCCTTTTCTTTCCTACTAAGCTTCTTTAAGGAGTCACCTCTCTAAGAAGTGTGAAGAGTCCCAAGCCTCCGAGGGATGGCAGCCCAGGTTTCTATACAGAGGGGGGTT